GTCATTCCTACTTGGTAATGGCCCTCAGCAGCTGTACATCAGAGAAATGAGTCTTGCAGAAGAATTAGTAACATGAAATTCATTCAACAAATATTTATGAAGTGATTATCACATAGCAGGACCTATTTAAAGTTCTGACAAATAGAATGCAGGATTAAGAAAAGATTTTTATTTAGGGTTTATAAGATGTCAAGTCTTGCATTAAAACTTTCACAGGAATTGTTTATTCCTTCCCCTCTCCAATGAATTTACAAAGTAGGTCCTATTATTGTTGTTCCTACTTTACAGATAAGAAAACAGAGGTTCTGAGATTTTGTAGACTGCTCAGGGTCTCACAGTTGTTAAGAGTCAGAAGTCAGATTTGAACCTAAAGTTTTCATACTTCAAAGTCCTTACATGTAATTGATCACAATTGAAATTTGCTTATTATTATGTACATGTTGGACTATTTCCCAAATATTACAGATTTCTAGGAGCACAATTGTAGGTTAAAGTGCAAATGAAAAATAAAATGTTGATCTTCAAACAATATTAATTTATAAAATCCCTCTAAGTCTTTGAAAGTGTACCTTTGCTCTGACCCTTGTCAACTGTTGTTATAATTCTTTTAATTATTGTCAAACTACTGTGTGAGAACAGAGTATGTGAAAATGGAATTTAATTTGGCTTTCCCAAATAACCTGAATGGTTGAGTCCTTTTTCATGTTTATTGACAATTAGAGGGTATTTTTCCCTGTGAATTTCCTGCTTATAATTTTTGTATAATTTTATTAGGTCTTTGTATTTCAATAGTTTGTAGGTCTTTGTCTTCAACAAATATTGCAAATGTTTTCTCAATCTATAATCTTTTGGATTCATTTATTTATCTTTTGTGACGTACTTTGTTTTAAATTAAGTCATTGAAGCTGTCTTTTCTAGAAACATTTTAGAGTTTGTGTCTGGCTTAGAAAAAAATTTTATAACTCAAGAGTATAAAAATATTTTATATTTTTGTCTGTATAAAATTCATTGTGAAATAATCCACGACAAGGATTTTATTTTTGTGAATCATGAAATATTTTTTTTTCCAAATAGATAGCTAACATTGAGTTTTTTGACTGATTTTCAATGTTATTCTTAATAAGTACTAACTTTCACTGACAGTAGCTTTTTATTATTTTATTTTT